AACAACAAGCATCTCTGCTTACTGCAGGAGAAGAAGCAATCCTTTCTCTGGGGGCAATTCTGAGCAGCTCAGTTGGTTCCAATGCCACTTGCACCTGGTACACGTCTGCTCTTAGGTTATGCTGGTAGTGTTAAGGTGGGATGGGTTTGGAGCTCTCAGTCATGTCAGAACTCAAACCATCTTATGCTGTGGAAGTAGATGGATGCTGTAAATGCTACGTGAAATTGCCCAGCTCTTAGCTGTCTTTAAATAGGTACTTGTTTTCTTGATGTCTGTTGTTACTTTCTGTCTAGGTTGAAGCATGGTGTTGCTGGGGGGAATGGAGCATTGCTGGAAATTCCTTTTGCTATTCTGGAGTAGGCTTGGTATCTGGGAATGCTGTATATGGCATTATCTGACACTTCGCAGTCAGGCTGAGGCTGTAACCCTGCTGTTCTGTTCTGGGGAATGAGGACAACCGGTATCCATGGTGCAGAAGGCTGTGTTGTCTTGCTGCAGCTCCAGCACAGTTTGTCGTGGCTGCCTCTGCACATAGCACAATAATGCCATCAAAGGTCTTTGTGTTACACTTGCTGTTTTGCTAGTCTGAAGAATTGCTAACTCATGCAGCACTAATATTTCTGGTTCTTGTTTTTGACTTTTTCTTCTGCAAGGGTAGAAATAAAGAGAGACTTTATTCCCAAAATGCAAAGTTTCATGGAAAATAGTTCAGGTTCCTGTTGTGCAAGTCTCCTTCTCATGACTGTTTTTGTTTGTCTGCCCTTTTTAGAATGTGCATGCTATTCTTCCTGTGAGAAAAAGGTCATGTTCCCACTCTGGGTGCTATTGTAGTCCAGATAAAAACTTGGTAAGAAGTGGTAACATGCTAGGAAAGAGAGTGTTAGGGTCAGCAACAATTCTACTTTCTATTTTTGTTTGGTTCCAGCAAGGTTACATGAGTCAGAGTGGGCTGTGGGGAACTGCTCCTGAAGATGTACATGTTGATTGAAACCCGCACAAGTTCCCTTCTTCATCTGACAAGGTCACCTGGCATCAGGTCTTGGTCTGTCTTTGTTGGTAAGTATTGTAAGACTGAGTCTCTCTAAAATTCTGTTCTCACCACTACCTTTTATTTCTGACTTCAGTCACCCGAACTCTTTAACTTCTTTGTTGATAGTGTTCTTCGGTTTATTTCAGAACTTTTACTAAGAGAGAGGAATCATAATGAATTCCTGAAGGAGCTTGTAGCACGAGATGCGTATGTCATGCTATAGAAAGGCACTACAGAGGGACCTGAATAGACTGGATTGATGTGCCGAGGGAAACTGTATGAATTTCTATAGCGTCAAGTGATGGGTCCTGCATTTTGGTCACCAGCAATGCCAGGCAATCCCACAGGCATGGGAAGGAGTGGCTGGAAAGCTGCTTGATGGAAAGGGACCTTGGTGTACTGATGGACAGTTGGCTTGATATGAGCCAGCAGTGTGCCCAGATGGCCAAGAATCCTGACTTGCATCAGGGATGGTGAGCAGGAGCAGGGAAGTCATCGTGCCCCTGTACTGGCACTGGTGAAGCCCCACCTCAAGTGCTGTGTTCAGTTTGGGGCACCTCAGTACAGAAAGGACATGGAGGTGCTGGAGCAGGCCCAAAGAAGGGCAGCAGTGCTGGGGAAGGGCTTGGAGAACATGGCCTATGAGGAGAGACTGAAGGAACTGGGGCTGTTTAGCCTGGGGAAGAGGAGGCTGAGGGGAGTCCTGATTGCTCTCTTACAGCACCTGGAAGGTGATTGCAGTGAGAGCGGGGTTGGTCTCTTCTCACTACTGACAGGTGACAGGATGAGGGGAAATGGCTTCAAGTTGCACCAAGGGAGGTTTAGGTTGGATATCAGGAAGAACTTCTTTACAGAAAGGGTTGTTAAGCACTGAAATAGGCTGCCCAGGGAGGTGGTTGAATCACCATCCCTAAATCATTTGAATGTGGTGCTCAGGGATGTGATTTAGCAGACGGTTAGTTAGGGTAGCATGGTTAGGTTTTGATTGGACTTGATGATCTTTAAGGTCTTTTCCAACTTGAGAATTCTGTGATTCTTTCTGGCGTTTTCTTTGAGAAAGAGGAATAATGACTAGAACTCCTCCTTTTGTATAGTCCCTAAATGGGGCTGATATTTGCTCTTCTCTGTAGTAATTTCAAAGTGAGACTGATAATTTTTCAGTCTGTCATCTGCAGAACCTCACACTCATAGATTGAATTCTAAGGAAGTCTCAAAAGGGCTGGGAAAGAACTTTTGCTGTATGCCAGGCAGCATACAGGATCCACATTTGCATTGAAAAGAAATCTGGGTTCTCAGAAATGGCAAAATCTGCACTGTAGCAATGCTCAGCTGCAGAGTCACACTGCCACAGCTTCCTCCTGAGTGGAGGAAGGCAGTTGGTGGCTTCTGACACAGTTTGTTGCACAAATTTTCTTTTGGCTCCACAGTACTTAGAGGGGGAAAAATAACCTTGGTAGTGTAAACATGAGTGCTGGAAGTTGTACTGTGCTTGAGGGGAAGTATAATGTAATGGTTAGACTGAGTTTCTCTAAAATTCTCAGTTCTGTCAGTATCTTTTATTTCTGACTTTGGTCCCCTCTGCTCTTTAATTTCTTATATGCAGCGTGGGAGATTATTATTATTTTTTTTTTTTACACTAAGTTCAAAGAAATATAACTGTCTTTTGTAGAATAATCAATGTTGCAGCCACAAGACCTTGTGGCTTTAATTTCTGAGTGTTCTGTATTTTCAGGGAATTTTAGGAGGTTTGAGTTCCTCATTCTAATTCTCTCCTCTTATTCCAGGAATAGCCTCCATAGGTTTGGCTGCTGCTTATTACAGTGCAGGTAATGGCCTATCATTTTTCAAGAATTGTTTTTCCTGTTGACTCCTTTGTGTGGCTCTGTGCAGCCTTACAAAGGCAGTGTATGAACCTGTCACCCTCTGTGTGACACGAATGTTAGAATCCAATAATAATTCTTGCCTCTGTGTGAGTCATTATGCTTGAACGCTGTGTTTCTTACTTGGTCTTCCTGCTCATTTGCAAGACTATCTTAAGTAATAACACTCAGTGCTCTAGCATTTTGTGCTTTCAGTATGCTGTATGTGATTAGCTGCTCCCCACAGCCCTCCTGGGAAGATGTACCAGGATTGTCTGTCCCCATAATGAAATTATGTGCCTTTGATGCCAGTGCTCCGTTTCTCTGGAAACTGTTAGCTCATCACCAGCAGAGATTACTCACAGAAAAACACCTTTTGAGTGCAGGCAGCTGGTGCTGCTTGCCCCCACTAGAGCAGAGTGCACCACGTGATAGGTATTTTTCTACCCATGGAATTTATTTTTCAAGCTGTTCTGTGACTCTTGCAGCATCCTGTTGAGCCTCAGGTTTTATAGCTTAGTAGCATATAAGAACTTACTGCCATTACAATCCATACTTATTTGAAGAGCAAAGTTCAGTGAAAGCTGCTTAAAACACCAACTATATCAGACATCTAAGTGTTGTTTGTTTGTTTTTGAGACAATACTGACCTATATTCTATTTTCTTTTCAGTAAAAGCTTGAGTAAGCAAATTGTTTAGATAGGCTGCTAGGTGTAAACCTTTCCAGGACAAAAAAATAGAAGTGTTGGCTTGCTGAAAGGGCTGACTGCTTTCTTTTGTGAAGCTTCAGTGAATTACTTTGCATTATCCCTAAATCCTGAAATAATGTGCATTAGAGTTAATGGCAGAAATGCTCAGATGCATCAGAGAAACCACTTCTTTCCTTGTTGCCTTTATAAGGAACGTGCAAAACTGTTTTGTATAGGAAAGAAGGAGAGAAGCTCTAACTCTGTGCATCTTTTGTGTTGTTCAGACAGCTTGGCATGGAAGCTCTTCTACATGGCTGGATGCTTCTTCGTGGCAGCACAGAATCTGGAGCAGTGGGAGGTAAGATGTTCAGCACAGGAAATGAGGTCATTGTGCTAGCTCTGAAATGGTTGTCAGGTGTTGATTTCGGCTGTCTGATGTACTTTGCTGTTGAGTAGTTGAAACAAGCAATTTATGCTTTAGGTTTTGAGGAAACTCTTCAAAATTCTTAAGCTAGGATGTGAAGGTAAATAGAACACATTTTTTTTAAAGGGGAGACCTGTCCTTTGTGGCAGACATGCAGGCAGATCTGCTCTTGTGGCTTCATGTAAATGAGTGAAAAAAAGTTCTCATTTAGCTGTTCTACTGATTTGCTCACTTGCTCCTAGTAATAAGTGACCACTGAACAGAGTGGTTCTGCCTTCCAGACTACTCAGGCTGTTTTCAATTAGGAAGAAATTGTGTTTGTGAGGCTTGTTTCTGATCTTTATGATGTCTGTGTTGGGATATGGGCTGAGAACGTATCTCCCCCTCTGCAGGCTTGTCACTTTACTGGCCTGAGTTACTGGATAAGTGACCTCCAAGAGAGACTTGGTGTCTTCATTGAGTCTTGGGGAAATTTTAAACCTAGTGTAAGCCCAGTCTGTAAGAGAGAATTACAGGAGCAGCATGGAAGTGCTCAGATTTGATTCCAGCATAGCTTTTATTAGGTGAAGAATGTAGCAGGAGAGGCAGGGAAACCAGCTTATCTTCCTTCTAGAAGTAACATAAGAGATATGGAAAAGTCTGTTAAACCATGTACAAGATTACTGTTTTCATGGTCCAGTAATAGACAAAAGTCTCCAATTAAATTAGCTAGATGTAAGAATTAAAATAGCTGTATACAAAGAGAAAATTGATTGTTTTAAATTTTTTTTTAATTGTTCAATTTTACAGGAAGCTGTATTTGACAAGAACAAGGGAACAGTCTGCCTAAAAACATTCAATCTTTACAAAAAGATACTGACCTTCTCAAAAGGAGGCAGTGAACAAGGTGAGAGAGCAGTATCTGTAATAGCAACTGTGATTGGCGGGCAGAAAAAAACACCAAGAGTTTACTGTTTCTTTTTTTGTTTTCCCTCAAGAGTTCTGTACTCAAGTTAGGCACGTTTGTTTCCAGGTCTGATTTGTTCACAAACAGCAAAAGTCATAAATTGCTTTTTAGGCTCTGTGTGTTTTTTTCAGGCTAAGGTACTGAATGCATCAGGTTAGTCGTTTTAATTCAGGAGCTTCCACATTGCTTTCCAGATGAGTGTAAGCCATTCCTTTGGAATGATTATATGCAGGTTTGCATTTCCCCTGGCTAGCCTGCTTTGTGAATGGGACAGGTGGAAAGATATTTTGCTTAGGTTAAGTATTGGTGGATTCAAAATTGTATCAGGCTCCCTAAAGTGCCTGGGTAGTATTCTTATTTAATGCAAAGCAAAATGAACCTTTTGGTTTTTTTTTCTGAAAGCAAAACAAAGTTAATGGCCACTGAAGACAGCATATTCAGTAGGCTCAGCTTAATGCAACATCTGATTTCTTTTAAGCTTTCTGATGAAGTGACAGAAGCTGAAGTTTAGTGTGTGACTTCCTTACGGTTACTGCAAGGCAGAAGTTCCATTGCAAAGTGAAGTAGGATCTTCAGTGTCAGATTTTCTTATTCCTGGTAGTCTAAATCAAACCAGCTCTCGAGGTGCTTAGAAAATTGACAGAATACACCATGTCCTAACATTGATTGGGATTTTAAACAGGATGTTTTGGAGGCAGAAGATAAAAAGGATGTTTAATTTGTGAACTTTTCTTTTGGATGTGTTGGAGCCCAGCACATCTCTTCCTGAGAGTTTATTACAGTTAATACGGGGATGCAGAGGTGAGCAGATACTCTGAAAAGTTAAATCTTTTTGTTCTATCTCAGTAAACTTAACAGCTGTTTACCTACTCTGTACACAAAGAGTTGAAACTCTTTAAAGTGTGGCCATGTAAGAAACCAATGGTCTCCATTTCCTAGGAAGCAGTGTAACTTGTTCATTAGGGCTGAACCAGCTGGTGTGCACTGTGCTGTTTGTTTTGGTCCATTGCTTTAGCAATTCCTTGGTATTACAAGTCTGTGGTAGTTGTGTGAGGTCAGAGCAGTAGCACTCAAGAGCACGGAGTCCCAGTGGCACAGTGACTAGGATTGCTCCCTAGGAGAGGTGCTGAAAGTTTATTGAAATGCTAATCATGGATGGCTTTATTTTCCACATCTGCTTACAGTGGTTGCTCTACTGCATGAGATCAGAGATGTCAATGTGGAAGAGGAGACGGTGCGGTATTTTGGGAAGGGTTACCTGGTTGTGCTACGATTTATCACTGGATTTTCACACCCCCTGACTCAGAGTGCTGTGCTGGGCTGCAGAAGGTGAAGTGTGGACTTTTTTTTTTTTTTTTTTAATTGCAAAACCAGTCACATGGGTCAGTAATTAAACAAATCATTTTAGCACCATTCCTACATGCTGATATGACTGTTATTCAACTTTTTCAAACCACTTGCAGCAGGGACTGTGAGAAGAGGATTGATGTGTTCTGACAAGGAAGGAGTTGCTTGGCTTGATGTTTCTCTGTAGGATGTAGGATGCTGTCAGTCATGCTCTGTCCTATCAGCTGGCCCTTTAAAAGAGTTGTTCTCAAGGATCAGAATGGCCAAGGTTGGGAAATGCCTCTAAAATCACCTAGTCCAACCATCCACCATCCAACACCCCCAGTGTTTCTCACTAAACCATGTCCCTTAGTGCAGAATTTAAGCATTTTTTGAACACCTCCAGGAATGGTGACTCAGTTGTCTCCCTGGGCAGCCCATTCCAGTGCCTGGCCTCTCTCTTATGGAGAAGAAATTAATGTACCTGTTCTTGTTTCATCAGCACCACAATTCCATTAACTCCTACACTGTTTTTTCTTTTCTACAGTGATGTGGAAGCAGTTGCCAAGCTTGTCATCAGTTTTCTGGAATTGGACAGAGCAGAGAGCCAAGATGTCTATGAGAGCAGTGAAACAGAGGCTAGTGATGCTGGTGAACCACAGGATGAATATTAATAGTGATGAGCTGAAGAGACGTTCGAAGATCTGGAAATTACAGATTGGTTGTTCTTCATAACGAAATTCCTCAGTCTTGACTTGGGCATTTCTCTACATGTGCACTTACAGTGGGAAGAATCTGTCTTAGGGCATCTTCTTTAGTGCTAAACTGCTTCAAGATCTGTGCTCCCAATACTGCCATTGTAGAATCGAAAGCAAATTCTATCTTAGTTCCTGGATGTGGACACTGCTGTCTTTTGAACTTTGTCAGCTTGTCACAATTGTCTAGGAGTAGTTATTTATTATTGTACAGGTTTAAAAATGTACTTTCCCATTAATTAATTGGAGCTATAGATGTAAGCTTCCACTTACTGCAAAGATGTGCAGGTACAGTATATGAAATGCAGAACAGCTGAATTTAACTCAGAACACAATGCTTTGAGGTTTCTGAAATATTGTATATGGGTGAATATAATGCTAAATTGGTCTTAAGCAGCTTAATATATGCACTGAGGTGATGCAGAGTAGTGGCACTTTTATATTCTCTACTACTGACTTGCTATTAGATAGCAGTGGAAATCATGAGGATGGTCAGGAATTTTAAACATCAGGTTGCTCAGCTTGTTACTGTCTTAGTTCTCTTGGAATTGCTAAGGGGCCATAACTAAGAACCAACAAATGACCGTGTTGGTTGTTCAATGCCTTTATGTTCTGTTTAACTTCTGGGCATAGCCTACCCAAAGAACAGCCTTATTCTAGACTTAAATGTTTACTATTTTAACTGTGTGTTTGGGAAGGAAGTAAATAAACATTCCTTCAGGTAGGGAAAAGACTGATGTCAGACACCATGGCAGTTTAGTATTTTGCTGTAGTAATGAGGAGGTAAATAATAACTTAGATGTTGTTTTTTTAAGATAGCTGGGCTCAGTGTTTGGCTTGGGCCCATGTGTTACTCTGTGTGCACTGTCTTCTGTTCTGACCGATGGCTTCATTAGTGGTTAAAATTAGGAATTTTCCAAGGTACTTTATGAAGTAAACGCTACCTCTTTTAGCCAACAAGTTCTGTCTAGAACTAAAACTTCATTGTACCTCTATCAAGATGCTGGTATTACAAGTACAGAAATTATAAGAGCTGAAAGTTCCTTCCATGTGCTATAACTGCTTGTATTCAAGTTTACCAACTTGTGTTAGGAGTTGTATGGAGTTAAGACCTGAATTAGAAAATACTGATGGTTTCCTCTGGGACGTCTGAATAGACTACGTGGAGGCAGTACTGCCTCTATGCCAGCACTTAAATGTCTGGTGGCATCTGGTTCTTCAGGATTTAACTGCATTCCTATTTAAAAACTCTACCTCTAAAGAAGTGAAAGCTATGAAATGATTTCTGTTGCACATTCCATTGGTAATGGAAACTGTGTCCATTTATCTGACCAAAGAACAGGTTGATTTCACTTCCAGCCATTTGTGTCTGTGAGACCAACACGCTGTTACTGCTGGTTTGAAAGGATCATCCAGGTGCAAGAGGGAGCTGCTGTTGATGCAGCCTGACTGTGGCACTGAACCAGGTGTGTTAGTATTAAATAAGAACTTGTGATCATGTCAGGTATCAAAACAGACCTCTGCCAGCAGACATGCTCTTGAAGCACTCCAAGTTTTCTGGCTGATTACGTTGCTTTCAATCTCTGCCTCCCATTACTGGAATTGGGAAGCTGCTGTGTATGAACATTGGGGAAGAACAGGTTGCAGGTAATTAACCAGATTTGGCCTTTATTTTGCAGGGAGATGTAAACTACAAACCATCAAACCTTTTATATTCTGCAACTTTTTTTAACACTTCAGAGAGATTTTCATTTCAGTATGTACCCTCAGTAACACTCGTTCTGGAGAGAGTGAGACTGAATTTGGATGAACTGTTTTTTCATCACTCTGTAAAATGAGTTTTGAGCATTCTAAAGACTTTCAGTAGGAAATACCCTTAAATGCTTAGTTTTTATAGTCTAGTGTAAGTAAAATAACTCTACTACCTGCAAATACCTTCTTTGTAGCAAAGATATTTGAGGGGTATGTGGTATGGCTGTGCATTGCACTTAATGTTCCAAACCTACAGATTTGACCACTGAGTGGATAAAATGGACAAAACTACCTGCATTCAATCTTAGTTACACTGAGTTTCATTTCTGTTTCCATGAGAGCTGGTGTCACGGGGAAAATACAAATAATGCTGTGGTTTTTCAGTTAAAAACCATTTTTATAGAAGTATTTACATTGATCTAATTTTAGACTGTGTCCTGCTTCAGCGGAGCTCTGCATCAACCTTCGGTACGTTCTTGGCATGAAGCATGATGTACACAGGTGTCCTGCAATACCAAACCAAAATGTAGAGATGCTCTAGGAGAGAGAAGGACCTACAGAAAGGTATTGGATGGCCTGAGTTCTGTGAGTGATATTTTGTGGGATGAGTTGTGTTTTTAGTTGTTGTCCAATAATCAGCTCCTTTTAGATGCTTAGGTGCACCCCTCCCTCTCAATATCCTGCTGAGAGCAGGTAGACAGGAGAGAGAGAGAGGGCTGCTGCACAAATGGCAACGTGTCTTACATTTATACAGGCAGTAAAAGCCACGCTGGCTTACGTATTGCATGAAAAGTGCTAGTTCTGACACTGGTAGATTGCTAGGAGGCAGAACTTTGTCTGGAAAATAGTTAGAAATAGCTTTTCTACTTCAAAATGGAAGTAGAATTTCAGCAAGGCCTCGCGTGTCTCTTTTTTTATTAAAATCTCCATTGATAAAATCAACTTTAAAGTGTTTTGTGTCACTAATCTTTTTTGATTGTTGATTTTAGTTATATTAATATTGTTGGCTGTCTGGAGTACCATTTGGCACCAACCTCCTGGAGATGATGGGGTGGGCGGGCAGGGCAGAGGAATCACTGGTATATAATCACTGATCCTGATCATGCTTTCTTTTCTTAACATTTTTCCATATCAGTTAATAACACCAACTTTCCACTGGTGCATGTTTTCCCCTCTTAAACCAAACCAACATGCTGTACACAAAACAAAGTTTCAACAAACACTTGGAATATCAAAGTATTTATTAAATAATCTTAGAGTAAGGGATGTGACTTCTGCAATTAAGGCATACACAGCAGCTGTGCATTATTTTTACAAAAAAAGAATTGTAGACCACTTGTGTAGACTTCTCATTTCAGTAAGTTGTGTTATGCTACCTCCTCTTGTGTGCTCTGCATCCAGAGATATGCTCATGTCTTAACAGTCGGTCCAAGAACATATCAGTACCTGTGCTTCCCAGGTAAGACTTGCAAGAAAGCAGTAAATGAAGCAGACAGGTAAAGGATACTCTGAAGATTCGTGATACAGTATTCTTAACTACGTGACTTTAGAATTGTTTTCCTTGTATCTTCATGTTCCAGTAAAGTCCTAAATGTCTTCCTATAAGTTTCTGAAGATTCTGAATGTTCAAGATGAAAACAGAAGGTAAGAGCATTTTTCCCTTGCATTCAGTAGACTTTGCTCATGCTTGAAATTTGGACAAAACTGCTGTCAGATGTACTGAATTTGAGGGGGGGGGCAGAGGGGGGGAGGGGAAGTTTTCTGCCTTGTGAATACAGCTGAATTCTGACTCCCGATTTCCATTATGCAAGGAGAGCAAATCTTACAGGGCAGGTGACTCAGGGCTCAGCAGTGTAAGAGGACAATTAATACAGACTCAAAGCCTATTACCTTGATAAATTCCTTTCTCCCTCAGGTCACTTGTTAAATCACAGTGGTTGCTTTAACTCTTAAGATGACAAACTCTAGCCATATGACTACTTGCATATGTCCACTGGCCACGTTTCCCATTGAAAAAGACAAATTAAAACATGACTAATTTTGTGCTTTTATTGCTTTGTCTAAATCATCCACCACTTGCTGCAGCTTTTCTAGGCTGGGGTGGACATTCTCCTCCATCCACTCCTCTACAGTACACTTGTGGAAGACTTGCTCCATGGCTGCCTGGAGGTCTTGCACCACAGCATTCCACTTGGACAGAAGACTGACCAAAATCAAGGAAGAAAGGAGAAAATGATCAAGTTTGCAGGTGATTTCTGCCTCAAGAGGGGACAAGCTTACTAGGGCTTTTACAGGGGCTACAAAGAGGATACAGTCCTTAGGATGAGTATGCAGAAGCAGCATCTGTAAAAAAGACCTTAGCACAAATGGCAAAACATGGTACATTAAGTACTGTTAATCTTAGCAACTCTTTTTCGGAAAGCACACGTGCTGCCAGGGGAAAGGGGCCTGGTTTTATCCCAAGCTCTGCCTGGATCCTGGTCCCTGCTATGTTCCCACATGGAGACTCACAACTTTTGAGATGGAGGAGTAACTCCATATATAAGGGAGGGCCTTCCAAAGAATCTGTACTTGTATTCACTAAATTTGTTCAACAGATGGCAGATAAAAGTAAGTCTGCTCTTCTATTTAAATCTGTTCTATGAACACATTGCAATGATTGATTTTAACTGATCTTTCTTAGTAAACTATATAAAGAGGTGAGAACTCAAAGCTGTAGGAATTTGCCAGCCTGAAAAATGACAGACTTGTTCCTATGTAAAATAGGTGGTGTTACCTTATTGCATCTGGCTGAAAGTGATGCATTATTATAGGATGAATAATCTTCCTTTTTCTGTGGTAGGGACTGAACCAGCCTGTGACATACCTGAAAATATATGTTAGTATGAACAGTCTTTGAAACAGCAGGAGTGTATCAGTAAACAGAGGGAAGTGATTGAGCTTTATCTCACAAATGGAGAGAATGACTAAGGAGTAAGCAAATTTAAGGCTATATATCTTTGGAACTGGCTTGTAGAAGACTTTGTGGCAGACAATAACAACTGGACACCTGCTGCAATTTAAGTTTCATTTCAAGTTCATTTTTCGGTAACCAAACAATTAAAAATATTCACTTTAAGTTCTAATTTAACAAATAATCAGTTTACTGAAGTGAGACAGCACATGCAGTCTAGGAATTCAGCTGAATTCAGATATTAAGTTCTGCTGAGGTGTCGGTATGCAGGGTGAAATGCCTGAAATGTAGTGCTTAACGTTCAAGCGGCTTGTTGGAGTTCCCTGCGTACGTGGCCCATTTCTAGGTGATACAGCCCCCACGCCCCTGTGGACAGAAAAATCAATGCAAACCTTAGTACCTGTTCCTTTCAAGAAGTTCATCCACTGATGACTTGAGGTAGAAGCTAACTTGTGTCACAAGGGTAAGAATATTGCTGCCAGGAAAGGTCCCCGTACTTGTGCTGTCCAAAGAGATCGTTAGTTTCTGCACTTACTGTGCACTGTGAAGTGTCTGAGTCCAGCAGCTGGAATTTTACCTCATGAAAGTATCTAATTCCAGATTGGACATTCCCAGGAGCTTTTCCACATTTTCTTTAACCTTTTCAGAATAGCCACCTGGGCAGAAGACATAAGAAATGAGACAGAGGAGCCTTCATAACAAAAGTGCTCAAAAAGAGGGTTTTTCTCAAGCATTCAGCCTTGGCTTACCAGATCTCTTTGGATGAATGTAAGTTAAAATAGAAAAAGAACAAGGAAAAAAAGGGGGGGTGGAGGAAGTACATCTTTCACAAGGCTTCTTGTGCCACAAAAAGCCCTTTTTAGTTATGAGCTTTCCATTCAGAGTACTTAATACTTTTAGTGTCTTAGTTAAGCATAAGCAGGTTGTGTTTTAATGTTTTGAAAAGAAATGCAGACAGACAAAAGTAAAAATTTGATTGGCAGCTGCCTCTGAAGAAGCCAGAAACAATAGGAAGTTTTTACAAGGCACTTTACTTCCTAGGTGCATTTTAAGAAAATGGATTAATTTCTATATGTAAACAATATTTAAATATGTCATTAGTCTCACTTATGTACCAGCAAAGTTTGAAATTAATTACCAAGAAAGCAATTCTTCATTTTTTTTCCAGTACGTGATGAGTTTAGTGGTGATTTTGTATATAGTATATATAATATACTGTATATATAATATTTTATAATACAACATGATTGGAATACTATGGCTCTTTTTAAATGCGTAGGCCAAGAGGCTTCTCTGCTGCTGCAGGTGAGATGTGAGATCTATTGTTCGTAATTTGGATCATGATCAAATAGTGAAACCACCTCAAAATGTAGTAAGCCTGTGCTAACCTTAGGGCAAGGTCATTTCACTGCTGTGTTAGGCTTTAGCTCAGAGAGAATAAAGTTGCCATTGTACCATTCTCTAGTGCCTGCAGACATACAGCCAGTGATGGAATTGCCACGGGGAAAAGCTCACACAAAACAGAGAAGTGATCATACCTAAAAAAGAAAACATTCACTAATTAGACATTTGAGTTGGGTGAAGCTGAGCAGTAACTGATAGGAAAGATTCCAGCGTTGTCAACTTCCTTTCCAAATCTCCAAGTTCCTTGTGCATCTGAGGAAGGCTTGGGTGGAAGTCTGCTTCATGTTAAAAGACGTTCCTTACCTCTGCCAGCCAGTCAGCGCGATACCTTGGAGCACATCAGCAGGGATGCTGCTTGCTACTTTCAGCCACTGAAGGTGGTTTTTTAAGTGGTGTCCAATAAGTGTTAGAGACTGATTCACTCCTGTAGCGCCCTTAAAAGCGCTAGCAAACCACACCTTGGAGAAGCCACATCTACGATACTTCTCTATAAGAAGCACTGAAATAAGACACAAAAGAATACTTATAGGACACATATTTCTCCAGTTTTCAGCCATGTCTGCAATGTTCCAGTTAACAAGAATTCTGGGCTCTGAACGTTGCTATTAGAAGGAGAGCCGTGAGGTCTACTGGCATGGAAGCAGCTGGGGAGATTCTGCTGGTAATACAAGTGTATTAAATGCATCATACAATTTAATAAGAGGAGGGTAAATCTCCACTTGTCTAAAAAATTAGCTGCTGTTCTTTCATTGTAAGATGTTTGCTGCCTTGAAGGAGTAGTTCAGAAGAATTTTCACATAATAAGGGCTGCACTCCATCTTCTCCAATTGCGCATCACTTTCTTTCTTCCCCCCTTCAAGGATTAGCACTGATCAGACTTTTGTTGTTTTTCCCAAAATGGCACACATTGGAAAGTTTTAAAGAAAGCTTAAAATGATAATAAATAATCAGGTATCAGAGCTCTTCCAAGCAGCTTAGAGAAGTACAAACCTTTGCTCTCCACATCCAGGTCTGCAGCATAGTCCCAGATCATAGGCTGCACCAGCTGTGGGACCCCAGATTCTGAAAAGAGCAAAGTTTTATTTTTTTAAGTAATAGAAAAAGGACAGTTACAGGTGAGAAAGAAGTACATGTCAGTCATGCATTACTGTACCTATAGAACAAACTATGGCCTGTCACCGAATTCTCCATGCCCACGTGCATTTTCAGCCTTGTCAGGACTTTGAACATGTCAGGGGCACTAATCTATTAGTTTACCTGGCTGCTTGAACTGGTGGAGTTGCAAATGGTACATGCAAGATGTCAGCTAAATTCAAAGGAAATAATCACCCATTAAGTTAGGGATTATCTGCACAGAACTTAGCTTTTCAAGAAGCCCATAATGAAGATGCAAGGTTAGCTTCCCTTTATAATCAGCTCCCTGAGTAGTTTTAAACGTGAGAAAATCTCACCCCTCAACAAGATGCAGTAAACTGAGTACATAAAGTACAACAATAAACAACAAGTGCATAAATTGAGTACTTTAACTGCATCCCATTTTACTCTTAGTCCATTATTGGCTGTGGTGGTAGACTGCACGTAGCTAAATGCTGTGCTTCTTTTGTGGGAATTGCAGGAGTTCTAGTTTTTTGGGATGATTCCCCACCACGAAAGCTATGAGTAGGTCAATCAGAGCTGGAGGAGCTGTATGGCTCTTCATGATACTGTCTAAATCTGTTTAGAGCACACACGTAAAATGGAAAAATGTGAAACTCCATTAGAACCATTCTAATTTTAGTAGTAGTTGCATATTTTTCAACATAGGAGGCTTGTGACAATACAGTATTGGAGTTCCTCATTAACTGTGTCAACTTTAACATCAAGGACACAAAGCTTCTCTCAAATCTGCATTATAGGAACCAGATACTGTACAAAGTAACAACTAACGTTAGAAGGTGGTGAGAAATGTAGAAATTTAGGAAAAGACTACAGTTTTTTTTTTAAATGGGTAAAGACAGTAGAATTTATGGTGACCACTGTGCAAAATGACTATTACCAGATAGAAAACTGAACTGCGTACATTGTAAGACTTGCCCAATGTCAAAAAGAAAGTCTGTAGCATTACTGGGGACTAAGTGTCTCCACTTCTTACTCTAATGGGCCACATCTCAACTATTCTTGGATCATTCTGTATTGTATTTCAGCTGATAGCAGATCTGTTTCAACTGAATGCGTGAACTCTTTTGAAGGCTACCAAACGACTCACCCCATCACAGGTGACACACCTGCCAGTGTTTCCTCGCTGATCCCTCTCAGCATGTCATCCCACACGATGGGAGTCACAGTGGGGTAAGACGAAACCACATAACTTGCAACTGCTTTTATATGGAATAAGCACAGCTTCTCTGGCGTGTTCCCTTGTTGTTGCAGCCATTCCTTGGACTCCTCTCCTTCACCAAGGTAGTAGACCTGAAACATCAAGCAAATAATTCTGACTTCCTGTATGGGAATAGGGGGAACAAATTTGATACAGCATCACGCAATCATACAGTATTCGCAAACTACGGCACAAACGTAACACACTGAGCAGAAGTATTTCAACGTGCTTTTCGGTGCTGAAGACATTGTGAGTATCAACCTGCAGGATCTGGCTCTGACTAAACACATCACAGAAGGGCTGCCCAGGGAGGTGGTGGAGTCACCGACCCTGGAGGTGTTCAAGGCACATTTGGATTTAGTGTTGAGGGACACGGTTTAGTGAGAACTATTGGTGATAGGTGGACGGTTGGACTGGATGATCTTGAAGGTCTTTTCCAACAGTGGTGATTCTGTGAAGTTTTCTAGAAGAATTAAAATATCTCAGGAATAATTAAGTGCATGGGAACTGTTGAATCACAGCCTGAACCTCTGCTTGACCACCTGAGGCGAGCAAGGAATCAGCCATGAGAGCACAAGTGAAGGCACCTAGATCCATTTAAGAGCTGACTACCAGGGAGGAAGAATCTTTTCTGGAGATCCCCTCCTTTGGAGTTTCATGGCGAGCCCAGGATATGGGTAAGCGTTCTATCTGTTCTCTTTCAGTATAATAAAACTGCTTACTGCTTAGCCAAACTCTCTGGTATATTTCAGAATTATAACATCCGTACATTCACTGGTTATACATTAAGGCATACTGTATTTGTCTTTGGAAGGTTTGTCTTGTGAGCTGCTCTCACCAGTCTTAGTTAAAGAAAACTAGCAACCATATGGTCCAGAATTGAATGAAGTGAGATTCCTCTCGTGGAAGGAGATCATTTCTACACAAATCCATAAGTGACGTGGGAGCACGTCCAAAGGTTGGCCCAGCACAGTCAGTCCTACGTAAGCTGCGTATTTGGGCTCAATAAGATGGATACGCTCCGCTGTCACGTCAGCACCCGGCCCGCGCCTCACCTCATCGCAGCCGATGTGGAACCACCTCAGGTCCCGATGCAGCTCCATGACGCGGTCGATCATGGCTCTGACCAGCGCCAGCGCCTCCTCCTTGTGCGGGTTGAGGGCGTTGGGGAACAGCTTCACCTCACGGAGATGCGCGAACTCCTTGTGCTTCAGCGCGAACTGCGGCGGGACGGGGCGCGGCGATGGGACGGGGACCCGCGATGGGACGGACCCGTGCGCAGCCCCAGCGGGAGGGCGGGTCGGGGGCCGCTCACCTCCATGTGCCCGAAGCTTTGCACCAGCGGCACCACCTCCAGCCCCAGCTCCGCGGCGCGGCCCAGCAGCTGCCTCAGCTCCGTGCGGCTGCGGAAGGACGCGCTGAGAGCCGCGCCGAGCGCCGAGCCCGCCGCCCCTCCCCGCTGTTACCTGTAGGCGTGCGGCGCGCTCAGCGCCTCCAGCGGCGGCGCGTAGGGAAACGCGTCCTCGTACTCCAGCAGCAGCCCGGTGGCGCCCATCGCGCGGAGCAGCGGCAGCACCTGAGGGGGAGGGGGGGCGATGGCGGGCGAGCGGGGGGCGCGGGCCGGGCCGAGCGCCGCCCCCTCCCTTCTCCCCTCACCTCGGCCAGGTACGCGGCACGGGGCGGAGCGCCCTTCAGGTCCAGGTGCACCAGGTGCCGCCGCATCTCGTTCGACGGCTCCGGCCGCTCTCGCTCCTCCCCTCTCTCCGCCCCGGCAGTCCGAGCGCGGCGCGTCGAGTGCATCGCTCCGCGGCGATGGCGGCCGTGGCGGCGCGGCGGCGGACGGGCGGCGGGGAGCGGCGGCGGCAGGGCAGGTACGGGGCGGGCGGGAGGAGGGGCGGCGAGGGAGCGAATGGCGGCTGTGCGGTAATGGCCGTGCCGCTCCCCGCAGCGCACGGAGGAACGCGAGTCCACGGGATGCGCCCGGCGGGCGGCTGTGGGCCGCGTGCTTCGTCTCCGCCGCTCTCGTCGCGGCCGCCGGCGCCTTCCTGGCGTGGAGCTCCCGGAGCGCTGAGGATGGCGTCGCCGAGGTGTTGGCCGGGCGAGGGGAGACGCTGCTCGACAAGTTCGTGGAGGTGCCGTGCTCCGGGGACTACGACGGCTACCGGAGGTTTGAAGGTATTTGGGGATCCCCGCTCCTGCAGGGAGGCGGAGCGCTGGGGCCGCTCCCCGTGCTCCTCACATAACGCTCTGCTGAGGCTCAGGGGGAGCGGAGTAAACTTTGTGCTACTCCCGAGCAGGAAGAGGCTTCTTCTCGGGAGATGTCTCTTCTTCAAAGCGCTCCTCCTGTGAAAAAGCAGCTCAGCTCTTGTTTCAGCCTGGCTGTGTGTTGAGTGTGAGTGGTGAACTGTGCCGTGCTGAGGAAAAAAAAAACTTTATTTCCTGATTTTTTTTGAATCACAGAATCATTTAGGTTGGAAATGAGCTCTAAGAGCATCCGGTCCAAACATCGACCTGCCCCACCATACCTGCTAAACTGTGTTCCTTGATGCTATAGCCGCCCTCTTCTTGAAAGCTGTTATCCAAATCTGGTTCCTCTTTAGCTGTTGACAAATCCATTCCCTTATCTGGTTTGTTATATGTTTATGACAAAAGCTTACTAAGCTTACTGCAGCTTACTGGGAGCTGCAGTGAGCTGCTTGGAGCAGAGCAGCTCTTCCAGCACTGGTTTGGTGGGAAGCGGCCATCAGCTTGCAGCTTGGTTGTACTGCCCCAAGGATGGGAGATGGAGGGGATAACTGCCTGGTCCTGGTGGTGTTAGGCAAAAAACGGGTAACAAGACAGAAGGTGATGCACAGCCTGCGGTCAAAAAAGGCCTTCCCAGTGTTCATGTGGTAGGGCTTTGGAGAATTCATCACAGTAGATGTTCTTGAAGCCAAATAAAGCACCTCAGGAACTTCCTCACAAGAGTGCGTCCTCAGTAGGAGGACTTTTTGATTCTAGCATGAGAATGCACGTGTTCAGTTTTAACTTCCTGCAGTAAGGAAGAATGGCTGCTGGCTGTTCTTCTGCTGTTTCAAGGCCAGAGAAATCTATGCAGCCAGTGTTGCTGCAGGTTGGTTCTTCAACTCTGAACTGGGGTTGAATCTATCTGCATTCTGCTACCAGGGCTTTGGTTTATCAAAAAACAAACAAGAAAGCTCACCAAAACAGTATTTTCCCAATTTCTGGTTTGTTAGAGGAATGTTCGGAGCTGAAGACTTGTGGTCTTGGCAGCCCCAACAGCGTGGAGAAGGCACTTCAAGGATATCTCAGCTGAGGAATGAGCGGATGCGTTCTGTGTTCTTGCAGTGTGGGAGCAGCAAGCGCGCCCTCTCTTGACCGCGTATTAAATGGCTGATGTGGTCGGCATCAAGCCCAGGAACGTGCTGGAGGCACGAGGGGGAGTCGCCTTGGATGGGTTTGTATTCAGTGTATTTGCATTCGCTCTCAATGCCCGCCAGAGGGCGCCCGTGAGCCGTCCGCAGCGCTCCTGCTGCACGCGTTACTGGGAGCTTCGGGTGGCCGCCCCGCACAGACTGCTGCTCTCTGCCGAACTGCATTCGGCTCCTCAGCTTTAATCGCTTTGTTGGAAACAGCTTTTTATCACTGAAGAGCTTTTATTCCGTCTTTACTCTGGCGTTGCATCCACAGCTGCTGGTGCTGTGGCAGGAGGCACGCTGCCATTACCCTTTGGTCTGTCCACAGTTCAGATGAGCTTCTTACTTATGCACCTGCTCCCCCTCAATCCAGTCCAACAGAGCATCTGGTTTTGCTTTAATAGATAAAAGTGGTTGGTGTCACAGAGCCTTATTTCCATAGTACTGCTCAACAGAAAACTTGCTTTATACAGCTATAAAATGTGCCACAAGTACTAAGTTGATGATGTTTGCAGAAGATGGGGCATGCTGTGAGCAGAATCTGATCCTTGCAGCCAGATCTTCGCTATTTCTGCTCTCTTGAGATATGGTTAACTACTTAAAACTGCTGTGGCTTTCAGCGTGTCTGATGAATCTGTGCATAGTCCTGTGTGTGCTGGCATACTCTGTCAGGGTTCAAAGCTTCTGCCACTGCTGAGGCTCTGAGATCCTTTCCCAGAGGTGAGGTCAGTGGATATGGAAAGCAGTTTTAATAGTGGGTCCAACACTGAGATTTCTGGTATTATCATGACAATATCATCTTGCCCATCTCTTTTCTCTCAAGTCATCCCTGTCTTGGCAATGAACCTCTTTCAAGAATAGGCAAAGCTGGGATATAGGCACCTAGACCCTGGGTCCTGTTACTTTCTATTTTCTGTGTGCTGATTAGGGAGTATTTCTGGCTTTTCAGTGTTGTGTACATTTCTTCTTTACTCTGATTGGAAAAATACAACTCCTGCATTCAAAGCTGAGTAGCTTATTAGATAAGTGATTTGTTTTTGCTAGGCACAGCTTTGTGGAAGCTATTGGGTACTCTGTAATGCTAGCCTATATTCTCATGAGTGCAGATTTAGGAAATATGCTCTTACTGCTTTAGTGCTCCCACGTGCAGTGGTTTCTTAGACAAAGATGACACATTTCTTAATGCTGAAATTGTTTTCATCAACACAGGTGGTTCTAGTCCTTTCACAGTTTGCATCCAGTGTTCATACCTTGCTTCTGGAACCTGTCTGATTTCATGCTAGACTCTGTTTTTGTTTTTCTTCTCAGGTTGGAAAAGCTTCAGCTGTTTCTTTCAGAATACCTCCTGCTTCTAGCATTACCTTTGCTAGTTTTCTTAGCTTAGCAATGTGCACGGGAACTGCTGAGCCACAGCCTGAACCACTGATTGAGCACTTGTGGAAAAGACCCAGTCAGCCCTGGGAGCACAGGTGAAGGCAGTTAACACGTGCAGTTGGAAGGGGAGCAGCCTGGCTGCACCTCTCTCAGACCTCATTTGAGGGCTGACCTCTAGCTGGGAAGGTTCTCTTTTTAGAGATCCCTCCTTAGTGAAGCTTTTCCCTGCAAACCCAGAATCTTCTGATACAGGTGAGCAATCTTCTTCCCTTCCTTTATAGCACCTCTCTGTCATGTCAGTCCTGCTGTCATCAGGTCTCTGTTGTCACACCTTTCCCATTGTATTGATACATGCAATTGCTACACAACGTAACCCTCATCCTCTCTAAAGCTAGCTTTGCTAAATCCTGACTCCAGTACCAGCCTTTCCAGAAGGGTAAGTCCTGCGCTGTTGTTTGCAGCCAGAATTTTAGAGCACAAATCTCTTCTGAAAAAGCAAGTCTTTCTAGTGTCCTTTCTGGGGAGTCATGCAAGGAAGGTTCTGTTTGGGTGAGTTGCTGTGGAGCATTGAATTTCTCCTTTGAATTTCCTTTTTGCCACATCTCTCCTTGCTTTCCCTTATCTCTAAGAGTTTTCTTTGCCACTCGTGCATTAAAGAGTCCTTTTCAGTGGCACAAGGAAGGTCATTCTGCTCTTTTGTCTCTATCTGTCAAGACAACTTTATTGGTTTTCTATGCTCAGCTTTCTCCTGAGTGTCTTAGAATCTCATTTTTGTGTCAGTCTGTTATCTCAGTCTTTTTTAATCCTGTTTTGTAGCAGAATAATAATAAGAATTGTACTGCAGCTTTCCGAACTTGTGCCTTATGATTTTGTTGATGTCTTTATACCCATAGAGTGTTAGATAAGGTGTGCAATACGTGGCGTGTGATTTGTGGTTGGTGGTAATTATTCTGCATGTCTTTGGTGAATGAATCTTGTGGTTCTTAATGAAATGTCTCATAAGTGTTTTCAGTTCTGGCAGCCTAAATTCGTTCCTTTTTTGGTTGTTTCTGTACATCTGTGAGTGTTGAATTGAAGCTGTTTCTCCCTCAGCCATTTGTCCTGCTCTTATGATGAGTGTTTGCTAGCGTGGAGGCACAGATGTCCCATCATTCAGCTTCTGAGATGCTTTCATGCTGGCGTTCAAAAGTGAAGAGCCAATTTTTAACCTACGCATACGATGGAGCCTTTATGGGCTTTAGGAGGGATGAGAAATAGTTGGCATTGTTTACTGGCTGCTACTTTTTCCCATTCGTGACTGCTAGGTTATATGCTACAAAGGAACATAGCATTTCCAGTGCTTGCGGTGTTTAATTGGCAAACGGTCAGTGCCTGGGATTGAGAGACTGAAAAAGCTCAGGATTTCCATGAGAACATGGTCCTGCTTTTCTGACTGCAGAGGGAGGGGATAATTACACTTCTCCTCAAACATGGCATAGAATTCACTCTCTCTTCCTCCCCCCCTCTAATTCATAACTTAGCACAACTTCTCCACCTGGAAAGCCCTTGTCAGTTGAATTCTATGCTTCTGGGGCTGTGGTGCAAAGTGCTGTTTTCAAATTCGTAGAGCACCTTCAGGTTGCTGATTGAATTTTTTGCATTTTTAAGTGTTTTGGTTTTTTTTTTCCTCTCCTGCACACTTCTGTTTCTGAAGAATGGTGTGTTTTGATTCTGCTGCTGTTCACAGTGTCGAAAGGAGAAAAGTGAGCTTGGGGTTCTGGTTCATTTTTGTTATGATGTTGGGTTCTGTGCTGGCCTTGCACTACTGGTGGTTCACATTGTAACCTCGTAACATTTTTACCTGCTGCTTTCGTAGATCATCTTCAAATAATTCAGCATGTGCCTCCTGGAATTTGACTCTTGAGCTGATCTCAGTGAGTTGTTGCTGGTAGTCAGAAAACAGGCAGAATTGTTTGGGTTGCAGCAGGCAAATCCAGGTAGGAAACCAAGTGGGTTACATTTTCACCCCAG